CCGGACTAATAGTCCTGCCGGGCTCTATCGCCTATATTATCTGTAGAGGCAGTTCTCCTACCGAAAAGCTTCGGTTACTAATCGATAGTCAATCGTGTTCAAGAACTAAAAAACTTAGCGCGCATTCACAGTAACGATTTTTCTGTTTGTTAATTCACCTTCAATACTCCTGATACACATGCATGTTTTTTGCCGATGATTTAACCTAAAATGGCGCTAATACCAAGATATTGACTACTCACTCATTTCGAAAAACCAACACAATGTCATACAGTCAATAATTTCTGAAAAATATTGTTTTTAAAGTCCGAACGAATCAAAATGTATTAAAAAATAAAATGACCAAATGTAACTAAGGGTTGAGCTGTGTGCGCGACAACTGAGCATACCTTCAAAAGTACTTGAGGTCATAAGGCCACAGGTCGTGGAGTCTTCACGTCGACATGATGGCACGCTCCATTGCAGTTGCGGGACTATAAAAAGCCGCCTGATTTTAAATTCACATGATGTGAAAATATGCACATTCAAGTAGTACTCTGTGTCATAACAATGCTGTTACCAAGTTCCGAAAGCTGTTGGAAACATACGCTTTATCACCAAGATTCAGTTAATGGTGAGTCAACATCATGCTGTTTAAATTCTTAAATAATGGAAACTCCAAAAATGTTGCAGGTGTTCTTGCCAGATTTTGGTACTGTGGGTTTAAACGTGCATTTCGTCCTGAATAGTCTGCTGACTATACATAACAGCATATATTATGTCAAAGAAACATCATTATGGCCAATGTTCCCTAAGTTCATACTTTCTTTATGCGCCACGAATTTTGAATGAATCATTACATATTAGTTCTGAGTGATTAAACACTGTTTTGTATCAAAAAGCGGAACACTAACAGTATGTTTAACTAACATGCGATGTATAATGCTTTGAAAATGACGACATTATTGATCTGTCTTTCGAAGGGCCGCTCCTTTAGGAAAGTCGCAAAGACATTTTTTATAAAACCACGGCAGACCAAAATACAAACTGAACCTAAAGAGCTAACCTGCATTGTGAAACAAATAGGAATGATATACGCCAATGCCGCACAAATATTACGATGCCAGTAAAGAGGACAGTAAGTAATTAGCAAGCCCATGTGATTTATATGTCGCTTAGCTAAGATAAATTGTACGGCTATGTGCTTTGTTTACAGTCAAGAATTAACGTTTAGATTCAACGACAATTTCTCGATATTCCTCTGAAGGAACACTCATTCAATCTAACACGATCTCAGCCGTCATTTTTTAATCAATACATTATGAGATTCATAAATGCTAAACTTGCCTTTAATTGTGCAGATACCTTTCTGCTGAACCATATGTTAAATAGTGCTTTGTCGCTAATAAGTGTCTAACAAAGCTACGTTTGCCCGTGTTATCTGGCATGTAATGCGGTAGCGAAAACGTATCGCAAAATGGAACGATTGACCCGTTGTAATCGTTCTGAGCAGCATTTAAGAAACTTAAATAATAACGAGTATTTGTTAAATTTTTATGAAAGTAAATAATATCCTATCTTAGAATTTGCTTTGTCAATTCTTTGCCTTAGCTAGAATATCGAGGCAGGGTTCATTGTAAGAGCAGTCCCGTACGTTCATATTCTATTTGGTTTTCATTTGCTCACAGCTGTGTATTAATCAAGTGTGCGTTTCAATAATATTCATTTACTTCGTAAATATTCAAACAGCTCGTGGAGACTGCCACTGGGATGCGGATGGTAGTCTTCCTCGCAATGCACAGAATGTCCTGTCAACTGTTCTGAAGCGGGAGCTTTCGTCCATTCAATCACAGTGCTTTCACTGGGAAAATGGAAGACTACACGCTTTTATGTTCGGCAACGAGAGTGCTTGCTCCGCGAATTACCGCACCTATGGAAGGATAACTGAATCCTATACCTGCGATTTAGACGTGTATGTTGTTGCTGATGCCACGGGGTTCAGGGTATCGAAAGGCTATCCTATTGAATTGTTTGAAAAAGACCTACAAGTCTATAAAGATTTCTTAAATGATGCAAAACGCATTACTGTCGTCTTCGAAACCGCCCATGGCATTGGCGGCGGTTCCGAATATGTGCGGCTGGTTAAACTTGTAAGGATGTCCTACAAGGAGTTGCACTATTTTTCGGATTGCAAATTTGTTTCCTACACTAATCTGCAACCAGCATACAAAGACAGGCGATTTCTGGCAATTCTGTGGCCAGTGTTTTCCAAAGCTGAATCTTATGCTTGTCAAACGGATCCCATCTAATTTCTGTATAACATGTTTGGACACAAACAAGTTGTATTATCTGTTGTCATTTTTGTTGTTTCGTGCTCTATTTCATAATGGTTTGGTTGAGTTAGTAAAACCAAATGTAGGAATATAAGGGCGTTTCTTATTTCCACGTAGGTTATTGTCCATACTGTTAACTATGCCAAAATACGATCTTATTCTGTACTGCTGCACTCCAGCACAAATTATAAAAATCGAGTTTGGGATAGCCGTTAACATTTGAAAAAACATCCTTTTATGTATAAACTTGAACACCTTTTTGATTCTGAAGTCAAAAACCGGTGGTGAATATTTGTGATCTTAATATTAAAATACATTGTTTATTATATTTGTATAGCACTATAGGCATGTCTTCGATACACATTACTAGGAATCGGAAAGTTTTCTAAACGTTTTTTTTCAAAGATAACTGCGTCACTTATTGGTATGATTTTGCATAATTCAATTGCGAGGTATCAAACAAAAGGATGAATTCAAACGCAACTATTCCTGCGTACTTTTATGACTGTCATTTTTTGAATGGATGGCTAAAAGTACGCTTACTCAAAGACCATCTTATGCGAATGATTAGTCAAACCCTCAAAGGGAAGCATCCAGATCGAAATGCATATTGACATTTATTATGAGGCTCTATGCAAAATGCTTGTTTTACATTAACTAACATCCACAGGCATACACAGACGCACCACCAGAATAAATGTACATTACTTTAGCCAAATATTCCGGCAACAATAGACACGGCGAGAAAGGGAAAAATTATTTCAAATCTGACAATTCACAATGAAGTAATTATAATTGTATCAATGTATGACAAATAAAAATTCCACATCACACTTAGAAAGTGTTTGCAATTAGTATGACAATGGTCACATGTGACGTTATGTCGAATACTGCACGTTGTATATAAGGAAACTATGGAGTACGTTACTTGATGCATGACACCTGACAACAGAATTTTAAATACGACATCTCGGCTTGAAATCAACTAAACAACACACATGGTTTCGGTAATGCCATACTGCCTATATCATGCGCCGCTGTGCGGCTGCTGGTTGGGCTCGAGAGAGAGTCCGTAAGGCACAACGAAACGAGTGGGTTCCGTATGAACGATCGGTGAATGCCCCCTAACATTGTATATTCGCGATCGAAAGCGACAGGACAACGGGCTCGTGGACCAGTGGTTAGAGGCGTGGACTTCTAACTTACAGGTCGCGAGTTCAAGCCTCGGGTGTTACACACTTCGGGTTTGGGTATGACTGGCTGACGACGGCTAACAAGCCAGAAGCGACCATTCCAGTCTCCCTAGTCTTTGTCGGTAATGGCATATTACACATGGTTTGATTGAAAATCTACTGCAGTTAAGATAACGCCTAGGTATTTATCACGTTTTTGCAACGTAGGCGTCAATGTCAACCACTATGCGAACGCAGGTGGTAGACATACGTAACTTCAGTAATCATAAAAGATTGACACTTGTAAACGGCTTCCGATGCACATTTTCATCTGTAAGGCATATTTGGTTGTATTGTCCATGACGGTATATTCGTACTAAGTGAGAGTCACTTGGCATATGAGACGGTTTATTTCATCTGGTAAATTCTACCTTATCAATTGAGTACACTGATATACATATTAAAATATATTCAGCGATGTGTTCATATTGCAAATATCCTTCAATAATCCTTTTTTACCTAACTTGCAATCTGCCTATTCTAAATGAAAGGCAGCCTCTTTGGACACCCTTTGGCTAAAAGCTAATCGCCATGAACATGTTATCATAAATCACGTTGAAATTCCTGAACATAACGTCAGCTTTAAATGACTATGTGCTTATACACTACGGCACTTGCACGACCTTTTTACCTAGATGGGTGACACGTAGTCCATCGTATAGCCTGGGCCTTCATCCATCACTCCTCGACGGAGTCGTTGTCTGAGTGGCACGACCCATATGGTATAAAAACCCTCCACACAAACAGTCCGTCACCCTACACAAACGCATACACAGCTGGACGGACTGCGTGGACTAAGTTGGAGCGTCAGTCGACTCCCTTCCGAGCCACGGCGCTAGGCGCATCGTGGCAGTCTCAGACTCCGATCACCCATACAAATGGGAAGCCGCATACGGAAGGAGCCGAGACGCATGCTTTCCACTTGCGTGGGAGATGGCAGCTGGGTGTTTGAGGCGGGGGATTTGGATGTGCGGTAAATTGCTGGTAGTGGAGGATATGATGGTACGATGCAGCCGACGTTAGTCTACGGCAGGTTATCGTGGGCGCACATGCGACCTAATAGAACCCCTGCGATGAATAAATGTTCGAGTGCAGCGTGGGCAGTGAAGACGGATGCGGCGAGTGTAGGTTGGTGCGCCAGGCACTGGTTCGCCAGGCTCAGTGCGATGGATTTGCAAGTGACTGATCAGGTCAATGCGTGAGGTGAATGTGCGCAGACAGTGTGGACATGAGAAGACGGCGGTGTCAGTGTCAGCTTTGATGGTGGCGGTGGGCGCGCTGAGCGATGGGGTGTGTATTGGGCTGAGCATAGCGAGTGTGCAAGGCCTACTGAGTGTGGTGGAGTTGGTGGTGGTGGGCGTGCTTGTCTGCGAGGCCAGACATAGTGGGTGTGCTGGGTGAGCCAGGACTACGGTCAATTGCGCTCTAGTGGGTACGCATGTGGCTGAATAGGCCAATGTGGTGCGTAAGTGTCCTGCGCAGTGTGGTCAGTGGTGGCGAATGCGGCGAGTGTAAGTTTGTGCTCCGTGCACTGGTTCGCCAGTCTCTGGGCGATAGATTCGCAAGTGACTGACCAGGCCCATGTGCGAGGTGAAGGTGCAGTCTCAATTAGGACTGATATAAACCGGGTCGTCACCACTGATGTCGACATTCGTAGTGTTGGTGTTTGTTGGTTTGCCAGGATTGTGTCGTGTTGATGTGCGTGGCAGACGTCACAACAACAGACATCGAGGCAGTGGAGGAGGAGAATGATGATGATGATGATGATGATGATGCTGATGATGATGATGATGATGATGATGATGATGATGATGATGATGATGATGACGATGGAAGTGATGATTCGGGGGGGTAGTCAGAGATGGCTGACCGTTAAGAAAGCGAGGGAGAGGTGGACGGAAAGACGATGGCTGGTGCAGTTCGTGTGCTGCAGTTGGTCTGAAGGTGTCCAACAGGTCCATTTGGCACCGGGATGCCAACGTACACAGTGGACACGTTAGGTGCTGTTGGGCGTCGGAGTTGTGAGGTGGAAACAGCTGAGATTTGCAGGCTTCTCGTCTGACTTTCAAGTTGGCGATATGGTTTGCCTCGTAGATCGCTCCGCCTGTCGTCATTGTCGTCCTCCATTCGGTCAAGGTCGAATGAGGTCTTCCCATTTAGACGGGTTGATCTGCAGACGCTTTAAGGTCTTCAGAGTGTCCTTGCATCGACGGATTAGGCTCCTTGGTGACGGAAACCCGTCGCGACATCTCAATAGAAGAGTCGTTTGGTAGCCGTTCTTTATTCATCCCTAGGGGCCGGCAACTTCAACGCAGTTAAAATTGTCTAAGCATGGCTCACATGGTGAGAGTTCCCGTCCGCTCCATTACGTCCTGTCGGGGGTCCGGTCCTGCCACATCAGATTCAGTCTCCGTGGAATACAGCTAAGGTAGGTGTGGTTGAGTCTTTATAATTATCCACAGTCCTTCACGCGCAGCCGTGTCGAAGGCTATCGTCAGATTCACGATGGTAGAGTGCGGGTGTGCCCGTATCTCCTGGCATCTCCTGCAGTTGGCGGGTGGTGAAGATAATGTCCGTGGCTTACGATGACGGCAGAAGCTGCACTGTCTTTCCGGCAGAAGGTCTTGTTCTAGTTAATTGTCCAGGCGTTTGAGAATGATGCGAGCAGTGATTTTCTTGGCGATGTTCAACAGGAAGATGCGTCGGTTGTTGTTGCAGAGCTGAGGGTTTCCTTTCCACTTCTAGAGGTGGATGTTTGCGACGTCCTTGAAGTACGTAGAGACGTCTCCTTAACTGGCGGCAGACGGGCGATGGCTGCTTCGGAGATGGTGGAGGGACGGTTGCGGATGCCTCGGCATTGTTCGGTTCATCGTTGTAGGATTTGTGTCCTCTCAGTGAGTAGAGTACTGCCGTTGGCACTGAGAATATGTGCACTGCCTTTGATTGGTGGACAGTAGACAGCTTGAATCACGGAAAAGAAGTTCTTCAATTCGTTGCCGTCTGCGAATCCTTAGAACTCCCCGGCCTTGACAGCCGTCCAGGTGTCCGTCCTCTCGCGCAGCCGCTATTGAACAAGGCGGCGGCTACAGTAGAGAGCAGCACTGTTGTCGTTTGCGGGGTGGTCGACGTAAGCTTTGTGCAGGCGGTTTTTTGGCAAGCAGGTTGCTGACGGCAACGTCGTTGTCGTCAAACCAGTACTTGAGCTGGTGATGTGCGCAACCGAGGACGGTCATGGCGTTCCAACTAGACTGTGTCCCGAAGTTGACACCATCGGTTCTTCTTGGAGGGGTTCTCGTCAACGTTAACAGGGACTGGAAGATTGTCTAGCCGTTGATTTAGCTCGTTGCTGAAATGGGGATGATGAAAAGCCAAAGACAACAGGGCAATATTCAACTCACTTGAGCGATCGCTTCCCTTGTGGTCCTCTGATAGAATATAGGCAAATCCGCAACTTAGAGAAGACGAGGCGATGGTGGGTCCCCCGTAAGCACCCGGAATAGCCTATGTCACCAGAAAGTCCTGCTGGTCTCGCCTGCGGACGAGGATATAGTCCAGCAGGTGCCACTGACGCGACAAAGGATGCATCCAGGTGTCCTTCTCCCGCATTGGGAGGCGGAAGAAGGTGTTCTCCAGGATGAGTCTGTGTTCTACGCAGGCTCGTAGAAGGAGCAGGTCATTGTCATTGGAGCCGTTGGGACCCTGGTGACCAAACACTGCTGTCCACGCAGCATGGTCTGTGCTGACGCGGGTGTTGAAGTCACCAAGAACAATCAACTTATCCGCCTTCGACGCAGTCTCCATGAGTGTGTGCAGTTTCTCATAGAATGTGTCCTTTGCGACGTCGGTGATGGTCAACGGCAGAGCGTAGACACTGATGATGGAGACGAATTTGACTCCGCGGATATGCAGGTTAAGGATCATCAGATGATTGTTGATGCCCTGCTGCAGAGAGGGAAGTCGCCTGACGATGTCGTTTCGGATGGTAAAACCAACATTAGCGTCCGTCACTTTGCCTTGGGGTGACCGCTTCAGGAGAAGGTGTAGCTGGCATCCACCTCCTCCATTTGGCCTTTTTTGGAGAACGGCGTCTCGCAGTGTTGCGGTGTCCACCTACTAACGCGCCAGTTTTCGATCGACTAGTACCGTTACATGTTCCGCCCGGTTTCTCCTCGTGTTTTTCTTAAAAACGGAACAAAGATTCCAGGGTGCCAGGGCGAGAGGACTTACCCTACCAGTCTGGCGAGTGGGGCGGCGGAAAGAAGAAGTAGGAGGAGGTGAAGCAGGAGAATTAAGGGGGGATCAGGTGGGAGAGGAATAGAGAGAGTGTGTGTTATTATTGTTTCCTCATTGGCTCTTTTGACCGTGAATTTAAAGTTTGCCACCACGGTCAGCCTGCAGATGGCGTGCTTTCTCGGCATTTGTTTAGGGCACCTTTTCTAGCCCCTTCCCTATCGCGAAGGGGGAGGGGCAGTGCCGTCTTGAATGTGGCTACCGAATTGTGTTAGGCGCTGATGAACGTTATTATGGGCCACGTAGTGGATGAACGACCCGAGTAAGCCAGGAAGAGCCTACGACATCGCCGTATGTTTGTGGCCTCCTGCTGTGTACCTGACGGAGCCTCGTCTCGACGATGCCGATGTGAAGATATATCAGGTCAGCGAGGTCCACATAACCGTGCACCCAGGTGGTTTAGCCCGCCGGTCGGGGAGGTTAGCGGGGTATGACTGTTAGACAGATCCTAGCTTCGGGGGGGGGGAGGGCACATACAACAGTTGGGTATCAGCGAATTTACGCTAGCCGTAGTCAGAATCTGTAAGCTAGTATGCGGCCTACTACGACCGTCACTTGAACCCACCGGTGAACACGCTACACCACGGGGGATATCAGGAAGGTGTCCATCTGAGGGCAGGGAGGTTACATGTGAACTTGATTAGAGACAGCGAACATCAATACACGGGTGGTAACATGATTCAAGTTAGATGCATTAGTAGGGATACTGAATAGTCGTATGCCTGCCGGATTTACCCAGATAACTATGCCTTATGCGCTTCATATGTCTTAATTGCAAATAAAATATCATATGTGTTTTGAAAGATTTTGAATAATTCATATTTATCAAAATATGAAAATCTCGGCTACTCGATGGGAGTCGAACACACAGCAGTACGGTGAAGGCTTTAGAACAGCCATCGCTGTAACCACCTGAGCTACGAGGCCCCGCCAGACGCCGCCAGTTTAATCACACTTGGGTCAAGAGTACCCGCCCAACCTGCTGCAACGTCTGTAATCCAAAAACTCTGATAAAGTTATTTGAATGCCCAAGCATATTTCCTAAGTAATTCACCTAGAATCCACCAGATGACAACCAGGCTCACGTAATGCATATACGTGTTAGCAAATTTTGAATAATTCTCTTTAACCTAACTGTAAAATCTCGGCGCCTTGGTGGGATAGATCGTCTTTTTTGTTGGTATTTAATATTCAAATTAAATCAGTGCTGACAAAGTGCGGTGATCGGCACGAAAGTATAGTAGCGGGTCAGCATTTGATTTTAATTAATAAGATGGCTATTTTAGGGATGTGTAGGGAAGTTTCTGAAGTTTAGGATAAATAAAGAGCTTAGTTTTCGAGTCCCTAAAACGACGCGGGCAAAGGTAGCACTAAAACGTCTATCCGCATGCATCTATTCCTCGAGTGCTGGCGTTGAACGAAGGCCACACTGTCAACAATTTCAGAAGAAAGACATTTTGTTGAAGTCAGGATTCATTTTTCATGTCAAAAGATATTCATAGGCATGTGAGTAGAACTGCGCTGTTTTGCAATTTAGATTCCACCAACACATGGTGTAACATGATTCGGTGAAGATTTCGTAATCTGCGTAAACTAGGGCATGGTTACCTTTTAGAAATCCAACGTTATTTTGCGCTATACAATATGGCTAACGTTAGGTTACAAATGTTGCTCCGATGTGTATTATGACTGCTAAGGACAGCATTATAATCGTTTTCACGATGAAATTTAATGCTACATGGTCGCAAATACAACCTATTTTGCAAGAGCTTTTTGTGGAAAATATGTTTGGACGCGATGTTGTTAGTCAGTATTTTTCCACGAAAAAGCGTTTATAACGTCAACAGGCGATGAACGAGAGGCATGAGCAAACAGTTTCAAAGAGGTACCTGTTTACCTGAAAACTGCTTGAGCACAATCTACTGATTTGTATGGTGAATTTGCCATGAAACCATTCCATGGAATGTAAGTGAATGCGTACGCCGATAAAAAAAATCCGCCTTTCATTTAAGAAATACAGCATACAACGCATAGACGAGCACATCTGGCGATTATCCGACCGTGGTTTACCTGCGGCTGAAAGGTAAAAGATAAACTAACCTTTTTGTAAAGCGCGCCTAAAGAGTATGCGGATGCCGCTGATCTTATAAATACAAGGACAAAATCGTTTACTATAGCTCTTAAAGACTTTGCGTTGGTTAAATGTACATTGTCATATACCTCAGCGAGATACATATAAAACCATTAGTGATTTTCTTTCGAAAAAACATTTTCAACACCTCCCACTACTAAAAATAATCAACTGTGTTGACATTAGACGATACGTTATGCGGCAAAAACGAACATACCTACCGATACTGTAGTTGGTTTTTATTATGGAAACTCATCATTTTAATGTTAATTTTTAAAGGTAAATACTATATAATTCAGGTATATTATATTAATTGTATCGTATATTTTTGGATATTTTATAATACTGAGCTTAGTTTTCGGGTCCCTGAAGCCACGCAGCTAAAAATACCACTAAAATAACTCTTTTTGATTAATTGACCCCGGCCGAGACGTAATTTTGCATTTTGTACGTGAAATATCCTCGGGACTTTTTACATACAGTAGATGGGCTAACTCATGAAATGTCAACGGAAATTCCGAAAGGCGTTTTGGTATCGAAAAGATTAATAAAGTATGGTTGTTAAACTAACCCGCCTGCAACATAATTCTATAATATTTCATTTACGTCAGGATGCTGGTTTTCGAATGAAATTCCTTCCGACTGCATTCAAAAACTACTCAAGGTAAGCAAAATTGATTTTCAAATTTTATGTCTACGTTCACGAGAAAAAGTCAACCTAGCGCAACACATAACTCATAAGCCTGAAAGGTGGACACATGCGCAAATTTTGAAGCCGAAAGCATATGGCTTCGTCCAGGTGCCGGAGGTGGCCTTCATTAAATAAGCATTCAAGTATCAACAAACCTCTTACGGTCAAACCTATTGCGGACTACGACACGATCAAATCTTCAGAATCATTTCACCCCAGGAGGGTGCACAGCAGCATGAAAACTGAGAGCAATTCACCGCCCAAGGCAAATGACATTGTTATTCTGTCATCTGTCTGGAAGGTTTTCCAAAACGCACTGTCCATATCATGTAAAACAGAACCTATGTGAGGTTTTATATTTTAAATAAATTTCTCGCAAATGGCAAAAGGTACATGTCTCGTTGTTGCTATAAATTTGCTACTTTTAAAGACAAGCATTTGCGGACTTTGTATCTTGGTAGTTTTTTGACGAGGCTGCAGAATGACTGAGGTTTGTTTATGGGATTTACCGCACGAGATTTTGGTAAAGAGGACATTGATGAATGCGGAAGCCAAACTGAAATCTCACTTCGAAATCTTTTCTCCTGATTATCTAAGCAGAATCAAATAACGCTATTTCACATAAAAGTGAGTGGTTGTCTTTTAACGCAAACAAAGGAGCCGACCGTGGACAAGTTTATATAGAATATCGTCGGACAGTTTTTTTACAATTAAACCTCTTAAATCCAATAGTACTTAAACACCCAAAAGACAAAGGGTATGAACAAAAAAAAAGAAAATTACGCATTCTCAACGCAACGACTGGAATGTGAAGCCAATGAGCAGGAGGTACTTTGAAAATCGATTTTTTTAATGATTAACAACCAAGGTCGGTTTACGTTTTAACATGAACATGTTATGCGCCCTAAAGAAACAATTAACATGCCTTTGAGACAAGATATTTTGTTCCAAATCGCAGATACGTTTAATGCAGGATGGTATATTTAATATATTAGCCGAACATACTTTCAGTTTTAGGACCTTAATTTTGACGTTATTCCGATTTTTCTCAGAGAGTTTACTGATCTTTTGACATATCCTAAACATATTAGATTGCCAGCTTTCATTTTTGCCTCCTAAATTAAGGAATGTGAGCGGTACGAATTTGGACGGCGTCATTCGCCTTCTCATGATACCGACGCAGATGCCGGCAACCTATAGCAAACGCCCCACTTAATGTGATTCAACCGTTGGCTGTATGCTGCATTATTTTTATGCATGTGTCTGCTGTGTTAACGTATATTCAAATACTCGAATTTGATTTTGATACTACTTGCCAGATTAGCGCAATATAATGTGGACCTGCAACAAAAGCCTACCTACAGAAATCCTCTTTACATACTTCGGTGGTTTTTCGCGTTGGCCCTAAAAATGACTATTTGTAGAAGACGAGATCAATGTCAGGATATTGATTGTTTGTAGCTTAAGTTAGAATAGGTTGCAGAATTCCAAATTATATTCAATCAATTTAGGAACATCGGACAAAATATAGAGACCTGACCATTATTGCATGATGTTTCAGAACTGAATGCCAAAAACCAGACATGCGTTATACCATTTGTGACGAAAGAATGCACATCACAATTCATCCTATTTAAATGCCATGCTGATAGTTAGTGTTTTTTACTTTTGCAGTGCGCTATGTCGTCCGCCGCGATGTTTTTTATGTAGGCACTGTTTTGTGTTCCTAAACAGCTTCCGTATTTGCTTCATCTAGACATCGGAACTGCAGCTACGAAACAAAATGGGCGCGCAAGTCCTTTTAGATACCCAACCGATCTGGACTTTTGTACTAAACGTCCATAGATCATATAGTTTGTACTTCTCATGTCAATAGCATTTAGACTGACCGAAATGAAATGCCCATGAAATCCGTCGTTCACCGCAAGTATCGTCTAGGTTTGAGGAAATTAGGCTAGGTGCGAAGCAATTTGGCTCCCTATATTATTGGAATACCCCGTTTAAATTCATCATAGCGCCAGTCATGGAGTAATAAGGCCTACATAAAGTGGGCGAAATGCTCTATGTACTCAAGGCCTATTTAAGGAACTCCTTCATATAGAGCATTACAGAGGCAAAAATTAAATAGTTTAAGGAATTATTGATTTGCGTCTATCGGCCCGTCATGAAATGCCAACCGAAATTCCGAAAAGCGTTTACGTTTCGAAACGATTAATTAAATAGGGTTGAAAAACTAATAATCTTGCCGCATAATTCCATAAAAATGATGTTACCTCGGAATGCGGGCTTTCGAGCAAACTTCTTTTGCCTGGGTACAAAAGGTATATTTTGTAAAAAGAGAACTATGTAAGTAGAATGCATTTTACATTGATTTTTGTTAACACCCTGAAAATTTCAATTATTGTTCTTGGAAACCGTGAAGAAAAATATTCCTTTTCTTGCTCATTTGGTAAAATGACATCTTCCCCAATTTTTATATTCGAACAGTCTCATATTGTGAGATTTTATAATACTGCGAAATGGCCGTTCATTGAACGTCATGTCTATGCATTTACCAATGTGGCATGTAAAGTTAACGATTTGGCCCAAGTCCACTGCCAGTCCACTGGAGTACCATACGAAGCCAAGTTGACGAGGCGCGACTGCAGACAAATCTGGACCACCTCGAGCAATGGTCGAAAGACTGTCTTCTACCGTTTAACGTAAACAAGTGTACTTTCCTACGCGTCGGCAGAACCAGTTCTCCTAACCACACGGTCTACCGTCTGACTGGCAAATCACTGCAAGAAGTCGACGCCCAGAAGGACTTGGGTGTATGGATCACAACCTCGCTTAAGCCTTCGCAGCAATGTTCAAAGTTGGCCAAGTCGGCGATGTCCATGCTTTACCTTCTCAAACGGGCGTTCTCCTCCTTTGATGAAGACTGCTTCGCCAAGGTCTTTCAAACTTTTGTGCGACCGCATCTGGAGTTTGCTATCCAAGCACGGCGACCCTGGACCGCTAAAGACTTGGGCATACTCGAGAAAGTTCCACGGCGAGCAACGAAACTTGTATCTGGTCAGTTGTCACTACCCTACGAAACGCGATTAGCTAATCTTGACCTCTTTCCTTTGAGTTACAGACAGCTACGTGGGGACCTGATACAAGCTTCCCGCATCGTGCGCAATCACGGCTGCTGCCTCGCGTTTGGAGACTTCTTCGAGTTGGCGACTACGACTAACCTGAGAGGCCATCCACTCAAACTGCGTGTGGCTGGTGCCCGGCTTGACACCCGAAAGTTCTTTTTCTCCAACAGAGTGGTTGCAGCTTGGAATGCCTTGCCTGAGGATGTTGTTAAGTCAGGCTCGGTAGAGACTTTTAAATGGAGACTAGATCAGCATTGTAGCGCGCACCACAATAACGCCGGACTACGGCCACCTTATCAGCCAACGCTGTCAATTTACTGTAATAACGATGCTACTACCAACATTTAAGTAATATATGTTTATATAATTTATTAAGCTTGAACCACGTCGCACACCGCTGTCCGCATTCACCACGATGCCTGTTGACTAAACAATGTTACTTCTTTTCCCGTATCTTAAGTGTGCCTCAACTGTCCGCTGTATTTTGATCAACAAAGCAAGTTAATGTGCCTCTAAACTCTGTTAACGCATGACATTCTGTGTTCATCTGTACAGTTTTTGCTATTCCCCTCGCATTTCTTTCATGTTACTTCCTTTCGATTTCCTCCATATATATCCTCTGCATGTAACCAATAGGGATTTCAAAGGTACACACCTACTTTCCCTGAAATATACTGATACTGATACTGAAATAATTAGTTCCTTATGGCCTCTTCCTAATGCCGTAGAAAAAATGTATGGTTTTCCGCAAGCGGAAAATGCACAGCTTGTAGTTAAGAAATCCTTAATGGAAGTGGGACGGCAGGTCGGGTTTAAAATTAATCGGAAATTGGAAAGGTTTTCAAAAACCGAATTATGTACTTCCTTCGAGTACAACATTGGAAGAAGACGTCATTTTTTAATGAGTGCGCCGGTTAAAGAATATTTTCTGCGTGTTTTCCATTAAATGAAATAATATTTCTAACAAAGTCGAAATTCAACCAATAAATGCACGATACTTAAGTAGTCATTTTTACAGAGTATAGTTCATGCATGCTGTCTGTAAGTAGTTCGCCCGAAAGCACGTATAGTGTAGTAACTAGATTTTTATAGGGTTGCTTTGCACGATACTCGGTTTTACAATCCTGCTTAATCACCCTATTCGAAATGAAAACGCATTTCGTAATTTCGGTTGAGATTTCATGAGTTCGCCCATCCACTGTAAAACTTCATTATGGAACCGGTGAAATAGGATTTCCTCACTAGGTGTGCTTTGAAAAACAAACATCACGAATAAGATTGTGGCAAACCCGTGCATATAGGGAAAAGGAGGACGATAATATGTGTTGTCAATTTCTTGTCCCTGTCTTTACTACTTCGAATACTACTAGTAAACGATCAGCATGCGTGTGGGCGTGATCAGAGGCGGTTTTCAGAAAAGGGACTGATGCCTACCTAAGGCAGGGTTAGAGACTAGGCTTGACAACAGCCAGATAAGCAGACAGAGAACGCCATGATCTGAAAATTAGAAGATGAATAGGTAGGCGATAGCGATGGACAATATCGTGTGCTGGATTATAAGTGACGGATTTGTGACTGAATTATAAATGAATCATTCAAGAAGGGGAACATAAGAGCCTGTTGCCGAGACACAATAGTAAAATAGATAAGCGATGAGTATGCTTGATGCTCCGGCTATTCCTAGTCGAAAAACGGTTCCAAGAGACAAAGACATCCTTTATGATCCTATTCAAATGCCAGCATCCCGTCCTCACTAAAATACTTTTTGATTACACCGTGGATAATCAAACGTCCGTCATAATTTACTAAGAGTTGCTAATTAGAATATGAATTATCTCCTTAGGACATAAGTGGTTTTTTTCGGGGGGTTTTTCGAAGCAATATGTAAATATAAAGGAAATATACTGCGAGAAATTTCATGCAGCTGCTCATCATGCAAGCATTCTTGCAAATTACGTGTTATTCATTGAAACTAGTAAAACGGCCGCAGCGAGTGAACGCGGTAAGTAAGGCCAAAACCGATTATTTGCAGGTCAGGTAGCATAATTAACAGTGAAATATGAACTGAACAGAGTTTAAAAGTATGTGGTCCTGTACTCGCACGCGAAGACGTTACTGATGGGATGTCACTAAGTCTCATGGACCAGGTGCGATTTCAGGAGTACTCCTTTGTCAAATAGCTAAAGAACTACGTCAAACCCTCTGTGTAATCTTCCGAAAATCCCTCAAACCTCCTAAGCTCCCGATAGATGGAATTTGGGCAATATCCTTCTTATCATCCAGAGGGGACCAGAACTATATCTAAATAACTACCGCCCGGTCAGCCTGAGATGCACTTGCCGTAAGCTAGGGAAAATGATATTTGGAAAATCAACTACACCGCCCGATACATTACGCTGTAATTTTTGTACGCTTCATCATGGGTGTTGCCTCGCAAACCTGCAAATTCCCTCGGTTAGGTATATCGAGTGCTTGTGTGGCCTCACCGGGAATGTGCGGTGCCGGCTTGGCGACAGTGGTTTCGAAAATATATAGATATACTTAAAAGTGTACGGCAACCTGCCACAAGGCCCCTTTCATAAAGTGAAATACTTTACATACTGTGCCGGAGCGCACTGAATGTCTATCCCCTCGACATCGGACAGGACAGAGGTGACCTTCTGCATCTTTTTAGTTTTTAAAGGGAACTGATCTGGATGTTACCTTGGAAACTCTTTTTAAAATAATATCGCAGCAGAATACTAGGCCGAGATTGAGACCCTGCCTACCTTGACCTTCAGGCCATGTCCCGAATCAAAAGAGGAGGCGGATGACAGTGGGAAGGATAACATATTCTGCACAGATTAACTGGAGAAGAAGTCAGACGGAGTTAACAGCACGTCCGACACCATGTAAACGGCGTACCAAGTCGGGTCGTCATAAGCCATGACACGTCTAATTCGGCCTTCAGTCTGATTAACCAGTTGGAGAGCCGTGTGGACGAGCGTCAGGCAGCCTTGGCGCGCAAGGGCAGACATTCGCCAAAACCCCAGCGTTGAACACAGCGCCCAGAGCAGGGCTACTACAATAGCATCAAAATCTTATCTCAGACTCACGTTTACTTACTTAAATAAAACTGTGCAATACCAAGCAACCTTCCTACTTTCTCCCGCAGCGAGACATTTATCAAGTAAGCTTTGTACTAACTTATATTGAAAATTTTCCTACCTCAAGTGTGTTCAAAAGACATCTGGATAGTAACCAGGTAAATGGCCTCTTTACTCTCCAGACACCCATGTATTCCACTGCGGAAATGACTACTGAAATAGTGCTAAATGGATTTTAGCAGCCTTTCAATCATATAACAATTTCACAGAAGAAAGCGATAAATATGTTCTTTGCTCTTATCTTGTAAATGCCGATCATTTGTAACCTTGATGTCTTATCATAAGATTTATGCATTCCGCATCTAAAACTAAATTTAAAATGTGTTTTTAATTAACTACTTTATAAGTATACGAGCATATGTTTATGAGGATTTGCAAAGTTTTCTGTCATTTTCTTTGAAGTTACTGACTGCTACGGACTGACAGAGAGATAAAACAGAAAATGTTTTTATAAACAAGAGCCGGAGAAAAACATTGTTGTTAATGAAACCTCTTACGCATGGATAATGTTGGGTAAAACATAAATGTGTTAATGAATAACTGGCAGCACAATAGTTAGCAGCGGAACCTTGATTATCGACTATTGAGAAAATTCCCCTTTCTCACTTCCTCATTTTAAACTCACGTCATATGAGTTGTTTTCATAAAATGGCACTTATTGATGGGCTACAGAAACTACTGTAACGTAGAATGGCGTACACCTGGACAAATGGGGTCGTTGCATGTCGGATGTTAAAGTCTCCATTATTTCCACCGAGTTCCTTTGCTCTTTTCTACATCATCAATCAACATTTTTGTTGTTTTTATATACACTAGAAGATTTGATTACGTTTATTACTCTTTATTTGTATAAGAAGACATAAAACGTTGGCTGATAAGGTCCTTACACCAATTCCGCCAGCGTCAATGGAACACACCGAACGATGAGCAAATCGATGATTTGATAAAAAGATAAATGTCAAGCAGCGATGAATTATTTTATTTCATGATGGTCGTGATGTGGCTCATTATCTATATTACGCTTCAAAGAGCACAATATTAATAAACGTGACCGATTGTACGCGGCAATATTTTGTGTGCCATTGTGAAAATAGCCGTCCTATGCAGACCTTGTCAGCTAATTCTTTGCTTTCTATCCACAGCGCTGTTTCACACAGATTTATTGAAAAATGCAATCACAGAGGTCAATATTTTAAAATATTCTGAAGTCCTTGATAACACTTTGTTTGGCGTGGTCGTATTCCGGCATATTGGCTTTATTTTGCAACATATTTTTCAAGATCAAAGGTTGCCCATGAGTGGAAACTCCTTGAAAGGCATGTTTTAAGATATGCGTTTCTCTTTGTCGTCGCAAAATGTGACTTTTATTACTTTTGTATATTCCTAAATGTTTTTTTGTACAACTGACGATTCTAGTCAGGCAAATTGCGACACTGCCATGAATGAACACAATAGCTTGGGGTGCCTTAGACCTTTCTACCAAAGTTATAATTTTGAACCGAAAGCGATTTTCATCCTCTGAGGAACAGAAAGGGCTAACCGGATCAGTACTATTGCGTGGCTGACGTCTCACAGGGCTTGGCCTATCATATTTCTTAGATAATCAACTCGTTTCTAATACCCTTGCAACATAAACGCACAAACTGCTTGTCAAAACAGCCACCAAGTACAGGGGCTAGACGAAAACGGAGGCAAGATCGGAGTCCAGTAGGTAATATCAGGGAAACTCAGCTGCTGAAAAGGCCAACATAGGAGTGTATTGCGGAAGCAGGCGGCACGTTTTGAGGTTCAACGTACACCTCCATTCTTCTAGTGGTTTAAATGATAATTAATGTCTGTTTTGGACCAAGAAATGCGACGGTAAACCTACATGCGAGTTTGCGATGTGCCAGCTAAGTTCGTTTTCACCTCCCTCCAGTCTTCTTTACTTTGTCGTGGTGGAAGATAAATCTGTATCGTAGATGTTGCGCATGTGTAATATCAGGAAAAAACTATTTCCTCGCAAGTCAGCAATCCTGTTCTTACACTGCAGTGGCATATTCGGTTAACATCGGGTGTAAAACCTTCGCGCTCTCAGCAAAAGACAAAATTTTTTATCATTGGAAGTGTTTCCTAAATACTGTTATTGAAAAGTAGCTGGATTTGTCCTGCGCAAAAGGTCTTACAATCCTGCTGTTTATTTTGCGGGCGGCAGAGCGGCTAAAAGTTGAGCTGGCGTTTAATCAACCGGCTATTCGGGGGCAACCTAAAAATAAATCCGAGTTTTATTTGGGTGCAACATACATTATCGTAACTTGTCTTTGATTTTATATCGATAACATATAAGAAGGCTAATTTACTTTGGCCTACCGGCGTAGGCAATTTAAGCCCGCAAATATTACAATGTCCTATGTAGAACTATAATAATGTAGTTAACTATAGGCATCACAATACGTTTAAACAAAAAATAGCGGATTTTGTTGGAAACGTGACACGAGGTTTTATCGGAATTTTTCGGACCAAGCCACCCAGGTTGTCATCGCGCACATGACCGATGTTATTTTTTGATTTAACAATAAATAATGGACATTTCTTGCTAGTCTTATCATGCCGAATCAGGTGGCATTAACCGTGACCAGAAGACCAGCGACCGCCCTCAGTCTGATCGCTGAATGTTTTGATATTTGTGTCAGACAAAGAACGCCACTTTCTACAATGCAACCGCCTTCCATGCAACTCTACCGCATGCTGCTAACGATCCCGGACATTTCCTGCGTAGAAATTGGCTTTTCTGTTCCTTTACCTGACGGTTGCCTCCGGTCTGTTTACAACACTGCTGGAACTGCTATGAAAAGTCAATTTTCACGTACGCGAGCAATTGCTGGTATCTAGGGTCGGTTTTCTTACTCTCATCTCTTTCTGGCCAACATCCGCTAATGATGTTGCACAGGCACGCATTATCTGCTTCGAAAATCTTGCACGTTCGCACCTATCGCTTCCGGCTCACTACAATACATCATTATACATCAGTATATTTCCAAATTTGTTGCACAACATCAAGACTTTTAGAGAGGCATGCTAGTTTTGTTTTCCTTCTCCTTCTTTGTGAATTTTGTGTGCGAGCAGACGCTGCTGAGCTGCTTCTTGAATGCCAGTATGTGATTCCTTTAGATGACGTCGAAGTCCTCATCTGCACTCTAGGCCAAAACGTTCATTGGTGGTGTCGGTCGGATGTCCAGCAGTTTCCACAGTTGCGGGCTTATAACAGTTGTATGTCCTGAAATCGTCGAACAGATATACGTTCATTTCCCCGACTCGTGGACAGTTCTGTCAAAGACGAAGTAGGTCCTGACACAAAACTTGGATCATTTGAGGCGATGGAGGCCTAGCTGACGACTACTTGTTCCAGCTTTCTTAATTTGCACGTTTGATCCGATGCGATCAGCGCCCCCATATCCTAGGGAGTAGATATAAAACATGGCAAGATTGTATGAAGTCTATGAATCAAACGTACGGTCTCTTGACATTGTCTATGAATTTTAGCTATGTTCTGACTGTTGCTGGGACCTTATCCACAAATAGCTAAATTAGTCCGTCTGTTAGTTCTTTTTCCGTAGTATTTCGTCGTTTTAAGAGACTTCAATGCTGTTTTACTCTTCCCTATCTATTATCACGTTTCGTCTGCACTCCGCTGTTTAAGTTGTTTTGTGCTGATCTCACCCACATACAACCAATCATCGATGAACGCAAGTGCTGCTAATAAATGTAGACGTATGGTTTCCTTTCAACTGCGCCCTATTACACATGCTAAACTTGTGCATCCGCTTCCTTCATCTGCGACTGTTTGATGGTTTGTTCTAGTAAGAATCCGCTTTGTCGGGCCAATAAGCACCTCGGACGAGAAACCAAAACTTCATCTTCTAAATGACCATTTGGATCTTGTCTCTTACCTATTCGAAAACGGATTTCATAATTTCACCCATCATTTCCTGAGATCGTTCCGTTGTGCCTTAAGGGCTCTCTCTCGAGCCCAACCAGCAGCCGCACAGCGGCGCATGATATATAGGCAGAATGATATTACCGACAAAGACAAGAGAGTCTGGAATGGCCATTTCTGTCTTATTAGCCGTCGTAAGCCAGCCATACCCAAGCCCGAAGTGTGGAACACCCGAGCCGCGAACTCGCGACCTGTTGGTTTAGAAGTCCACGCCTCTACTCAACGGGCCACGAACGCGTTGTCCTGTCGGTTTTCGATCGGGAATATAAAATGGTAGGGACCGCACAACGATGGTTCATACGGAACTCACTCGTTCTGTTGTGCCTTAAGGGCTCTCTCTCGAGCCCAACCAACAGCCGCGCAGCGGCGCATGATACATAGGCAGAATGGTAATACCGACAAAGACAAGGGAGACTAGAATGGCCATTTTTGGCGTACTAACCGTCGTATCATGCGCCGCTCTGCGGCTGCTGGTTGGGCTCGAAAGAGAGCCCTGAAGGCACAACAGAACGAGTGAGTTCCGTATGAACGATCGGTGAACGCTCCCTACCATATATATATATATTTATATGATAGTGGGCGCTCACCGATCAGGTTACGGAACATGCTCGTTCCGTTGTGCCTTGGGGCTCATACTTAAACCCTCGCAGGCAGTCGCACAGCGACTAGTGGTAGACATAGATGAGATGATACCGACAAAGACAAGGGA